CTTTAAAAGACGATTAGCCAACGGTCCATTAAAGAGATAATTGCAATTTTTCCTTCTCTGACAGAAACTCTTTCTTATCTTTTCCCAGCTGAATTTTTGTCCCGAATGAAATTTACGCAATGTGCAAGGAACTTCAGGGCAAAATATCACAAACTAGTAAAATCTTTTAACACCAATTTTTCGCCTGTAAAAGAACATTTCTACGTTCTATTGACGTTCAGGATTTTGATAAAACAATTATTTACCGACAACCTTTTAACGAAACTTCTAGATATCTAGTATTATTAGTTTTAAACGGTTTAGAATCACCGACGTCACAAAACTGACACCTGCTAAAAAGATTAAGAAGATCAGCGCACATAAGCACTAAAGAACAGTTTTTCATTAGTTCTGCGTCAAGCTGTCATTACAGCTTCTTAACAAGGATAAAAATCCCTGTTTTGTTGACTTTGTTTTCTGACAGTTTTCGTGACGGTACCGTGTCTTCTGCCACGGATCACTGGCGGTTAAGTTCAGTTGTGTTTGTAGTCTTTCAGTTTTTGTAATTCCTTTATTTTTTTAACTGCTTGCCGTTCAAAACTGGGACCCCTCAGTTATATTAATCGACTTAAGCAAGAGATATTCTCTTGACTTAAGCTAGTCGTAAGACGCTCAGGCCGTTTCCTTCTCAAATCAAAGACCACAAAAAGTTTCAGGTGAGGGTGGGGGTAGGGGGTAAATAGGACGTGTCCGTGTTATATGTCTCATATGAGGTGTTGTAAGGAGAAGTTGGACTGTGTTAGTATCTACAATTTACGGTAGCTTGATTCGACACAGTGTCGTCCCTAATTCGCACAGACTCTTTGCCAAAGGCGCAGTTTGTCCCAGTCAGCAGTATCCACGCCAAATAATAATGGCGGCGTTCTACTAAATACCACTTTGCGAGATAAAGTGCTGATTACATTAAAGAACGTCATCATTAAATTTCAAACGAAGTATATGTTCAGCCGGCTTTTAAGTAAAGAAAAGTTTGAAATTCCAGCGCAAGAAAGTTTATACCGCAACAGAACATTGACGCTGGTTTGCTGAAATTGTGCTGGGTTGAAAAATTAACTTCCAAGCACAAAACTAAACGGCCCGGGTTTTTTTTCCTACAAAATCACTAATTAAACATCCATAAACTAGGTGGCGACTAAACCATCGCTCAATGCCGAGGATATAAATATAAAACTTGAAAATTTGCTAAAAATAGTGGTAACATACCCTGCCGGTCGGTCGCGCGCCTGTTTTCTTATTGGTAAAGCCCAACACTGTAAACATTGACCCACGCGAATGATATTATTTTTCTCTGGTATAGCATGATATTACCCTTTCTACAAAAACAACAGCAACGACACAGAGGTTAATCAACTTGCAGTTTTAATCACTTTTGATACAAAATACCCGCCATTAACGTGACCATGTAAATAAGCTTTACGTTCGGGATTATTTGAGACAAAGGTTTTGGTAACAACAGAGGTTTGTTAAACTGACATTGACGCGTCAAATGCACTGCATTAAGTTTTGCTCAAAGAGTTAAATTTGATGCATCCGGAGTTTTCGAGTTCCCAAGAGAAAATACTTCCTGATCACACTGATTCAAAGGATAAAGAATTCACCTCGCAAACAGACACTGTACTAACTTGTCAATCTTGAGACAAACCAAATTTTTGCTAAGCTTCGCTACAAGGGTCCTCATTGCACCCTTAAACTGAATTTTGTCACTTTGTCAAAACCTGGGCTTTTTTTTTCTGAACTTATAAAATACCTTCTTGTCCGGCATTAACAGAAAGATGTCGACATGATTCTTCATATCGACTGTCACTGGCCCTGCCGTGGTCAGCCTGTCGGACCGGCCAAGAAAAACACTTACCAACGCACAAGACAAACAATTTAAAAAACAAAACAAAACTATCTCTGTCTTCTCCAATCTCACAACTCGTACCTGTAATATCTATTACCACCTCGTTGGTGTTTTTCTACCTTATTTCCTTCACTTTGAAAATAATTTACCGCGTTAAAAATGTTCTCTAATATATTTTCGTGACTCTTACGTAACCAAGTGTAGCCAAGAGCTTGGCTAAAAGGCAAAGCTCGTGTTTCAGGCAGTGATCTGGGGACAGAAAAATAGAACTCGATATGTGTGACCTTGGCAAGTGACTGTTAATGAGCTCTAATCTGTAACCACATCTATACTTCACGGACAGTTCCATAAATATGTTATGTTACCAGGATCAATTCTCTAGGCGAAGCTCACGGATGTCACAACCGTGAACTTCGCGGAGTGCTCTATGCTCTAGATATACTGTTATAGAAACAGCAAAGCGAAAGAAAAGGTCAAAATTGACGTCGAATTGGGCCAAGAGATTGTTTTACGCTAAATTCGGTTATTTGAATGTAGTTTTATGTCTCTCTTGGTCAGTACGGGGACAGACGACACAGGCATTTGTCGATGGGTAACAGACAGCGCTTAAAGCGGGGTTGTTAAGTTTTCTATGTGGTACAGTTTTAACAACAGAACCCCTCTAACGACCTTTCTTTTGGTGTAAAGGAAAGCCAGTCATTCATTTTCGTAGGAAACCCTTTTATCTGAGCAGATTTTTTGTTCGACCCCTTGGTAGTCCATTAAGTTGTAGATATAAAAATTGTTCACACTGCTGCAGCTGCTGCTGCTGTTGTTGTTGTTGTTTATCTGTCATCCTTGTCCCCAAGAGAGATCAGTCGTGGACGCCGCTAGCGCTATTCTTTCCGCGTTTTAATTTTCAAACATTGCATTTCAACTAATTCAAATTCAACTTGTTTGCTCTCCACCTTCACGAAAGCAATTTTGTTATCCAGTGAGTGTTCAATCGTCCCCGCGTGGAATATCTTCATCTTCTTCCACTCTCTTACGAATGTTGCAGTAATAATAACTCATAATGAAAGCTGACGACACGAGGAGCGCTGACGCAAGAGACACACAAATGAACACCACATAGGTGTGAGGGAAGTGAAAGCTGCTGGTGTAAGCCGCGGGACTCTCTTTCATGATCTCACAGTCCGTATTCTCTGGTGAAGATTCATTACAGCGCATGTTCAGTTTATTTGGCGCCAGGGCTCCCTTGACTGCTGTTTGAGTAAAACTGGGACTAATGAAACAAAAAACAAAATCAGACAGAGTTTGAATCTGAGAGGGAGAGCTTTTCTGTAAAAAGCTGTTGAAAATGGAGTAACAATATTGGCGCTTAAAGTCTTTTTCACTTCGTTTGACTCATTATTCATACGCGAGGAAATTAATTGGTGTACAGCGATGAAAGGTGTGTAACTGAAAGCCAAAAAAACAAAAAAAGAAACAATGCACAACACTCCTCTATCGCTATGTGAAGTATGTATGTCTCATTATATGGTCTTGTAGACCGATGGGTAATTCTTGCTCCAACACTGATGGATTGTTAGCATCAGACTAACTCCAGTTTTCGTTGCATGAAGCTACTTGACTGAGCCACTCTGTACGGAGTGCAAGGTAAAGTTTGCATCACACCAAAGTGCCCCATATCCTCACAGTTTTCCCCGGTTTCGGTAGCAAGAAGCGACTAGAAGTATTTCTACTCCCCCTGAATGGGACACTAGGCCATTGCAGTGTTACCCCTAGTATTAAATTTGCCAGTACCCATTTATACAACAGGGTGGAGAGAGGCACGGTGGGAGCGAAATGTCTTGCCTAAGAGTACAACACCATGACTTTGGCAAAGCCTCAAACCCAAACCACCCAATCCAGAATCCAGGACACATACCATCTCCAAGCCATCGCACTTCCCCAAGAGTAGACTTAACATTGGACTCATTAGTGGCGGATCCAGACCTTGAGCTAAGGGGGGGGNAAAATAAAGGGAGTGGGGTCTCTCCACTAGATCCGCCACTGCTCATATATATTTATCCTACCTATCACTATATTGGTCATGGTAGTGTAACCCACTGGTAGCCACTACTCCCCCCTCAGTATTCTTCTGTTCTTGAGGAGCCTTGTTTACTTCCACTGCTGAATCTGAGGTGGACATGAAAACCACAAAGTCTTTAGCATTCGAAGAGTTGCGTGGCCGAGAATTGAGAAATATCTTCTTTGATCCTGTAGCGTTGAGAAGTGCAAGTTCTTTCATCAAAAACGTTCTTTGTTTGGAGTCCAATCCATGTTTATGATGTCTTTTATTTGCTTGGTTATCTGAAATGTAATGGAAACATAAAGCTTCAGGTATGCACTGGGCTAGAAAAAAGTTGTGAAAAGAATTTTTTTGCCAAAACACCGAATCAAATGAGAACTTTAGTTGACAAGAGTTCAAAGTTTGGCAGTCATTCGACCACCAATTTCATCAACCCTCAGCCATTTGCACCACCTCAATTTTTTACGAGATTTGTATACTCTAAGCTTGCTTAAGTACATGCTGATAAAAGTTGAATGATGCAGTTAATGAGATATATATATTTAGTGTTAGTCTAAAACACTCTCTACTTTATCAATTAGCATTCTCTCATTAATACTTAATATTTCATTCTGGTAATATTTGGTATGGTACATGCATTCTCATACAGAGACAACAACAACAACCAACCATTTTATTTTGCCAGATTTACAAGAAAAGAAAAAACAGCATAAGGGCAATTAACTTGATTAGACAAGAAAAAACTAAAGCTGAATAGATAGAAACTACTCTGAAAACTAAACAAGCTGAGTAGATAGAAAAAATTAACATGCTTAACCTTGGTTGCAACATGCATAAACAAAGAGGGAAAAAGTGCACACCCACAAAAAAAAAAAGATCAAAATACAAACAAAATGAAAAGAGACAGTTATGATTGCTGTGTATCTCCCAGACAAAATGCTGTGATGAAGTTTATAAACATGTACTTCAGTTAAATAAATTTGTTTTGCTTGTTGATGGTTTTAAAATTCATATTTGAAACATGGAGCAAAGTTTTTATTTACATGTACCTTTTTGTTTGTGGACTGCAGAGTGTTGTCGTATGCTCGGAGAAAACAATTTGGGTGATCCTTTGCATGTTCGTCCATACAAACTTGGCTCGTCAGATACCCACCTTGACGAAATCAATCTTCTATCAACACAACGCCCCCTGCCATTACATTTTTTCTCACTGCAGGTCTCCAATTGATGCCTCAGAGATTCAAAGTAAGGACCAAGTTTTGTTTTAATGTAGTTATTAAGTTCTTGGCATACAGCAGGAGAGGTGTTTTCATCACGCCTATTACCCCACATGACCACACCCGCTGCACCCATATCAGCTGCCTGGCCAATTGAATTGCGCAGATCAATCTAAAAGAGCAGCCAGATAATAATAAAACTCAGTACAAAGAAGAAAAAGTGGAAATACCGAAAAGGAGTTTCTGTCAGTTCACTTTAGGAGTGGGAGCATTACAGACTGAAGCAAACGTTCCCCTATTTTATGAACTCTATTGGACTGTCGCTAAATGTTCCTGGCCTCCAAGGCAGTTTGAAAGAATGCTCCAGAAAAAGTAGTGAAGGCAAGGTTAAATTTATATCAGGCCAAAGCGACCCATTTTGCCGAGACTTCTCTCTGTTTCCACAGCAGAGCAACTAGGAGTATTTCTCTTCCCTTTGGATGACATGACACTTGTCCATCGTAAGGTTATCCACCCCTGATATTAAATTTGTTGGCACACATTTATACGCATGATGGAGAGAGGAAGTTTTAAGTGCCATCACGCTTTCCACTACTGTTCTCAAAAAGGAAAAACATGTCCTACATGTAAGTTTTGTTTGCAGAAGAAATGTTAGGTAGTGTAAATGACACAATGACACAAAATTCAATAAATTCTTACATCAGTGAGGTAGTCAAACTCCAGTGGTTTTCCTTCATACAAATGTCGAAAATAAGGAAACACAGGTACTCTTCTATTTTTTTCCTTTGAAACCCATGTTGCTAGTCTGAATGCTTCTTCCAGTCGGCCATATGCAAATGCTTTGTTTGACGACTGCTGATCATACAAATAAACCGATGGATAGAGAGCAGTGCTGCTTGAAAACAACCATTTCAATTTGTTGTTCAGTTCTTGGTTCTGAAAACAAATGAATTTAGTTTGTAAAGTGAAGAAAGGATTCTTTCAGTTGTGTTTGCAAAATCATGGGATTTGAGTCCATGGACTCTACATTATATAAACCTCATTTTGACATTATCTGTTCTGAGAGGCAAAGAGTGTTCTGAGAGTGAAGCTGGAGGAAACCTGTGATCTTTAAGGGAGAGATAATGTGCAAAACAAAATGTCCATGCATATTCTTTAAGCCAGAAGAAAATGACTGGGTTTAAAGCTGCTTGTTTTAAAAGACCTTTTTTCAAAGCTGTAAAACATCATTAATACTTCTGTTGTAAATATTTAAATGTATTGCTGTTCTGTGCAAACTTTTCAGTTCTATGCCTTTCAACAATTATATTGGGATGAAAACTAATACACGAACATAAAACACGACATTCGAAAACTGAGGAATACCACTTGGAGGAAATCACTAGCCAGAACCACTGGGAATTCTTCAGTCTTGGCTGTATCATGTGAAATGTTTGGACCAATTAGGTGTGAGAAGATTTGATGCTTTTTAACAGTGATAGTAAATCATGATCAATGTAGTTACATAGAAATTTTCAACTATGCTATGCATCACTGACAATTCACTCCGTAAGACATTAGTGTTCAAAACTTGATCTTGCACTCCAATAGTAAATGTCAAATTAGTATATAACGGTTGCCAAAGATGCATCATGCACATGCCTGATAAGTCAAAAAACAATTAATATTGACTATATACCAGTTAACGACAAGGAAATTGAAGTTGCTTCAAAATAACAAGCAACCACACATTTCTATGGTTTAGTTTTGCAAATATCGACCACTGGGATATTGCAAGAACACTCATTTTGCAAATAATTTATCTTTGGCTCCTGATCAACAAACTCACCTTGCATGATTCTTATATCCATATGTTTTTGTAAGCATAAGTGCATAAACGTTTAATTAATTTTTCCATCTCTCACATGACGACGATTCCAGAGTGCAAAGTTAACTATGCCAAAAAATTATATAAGATGCACCCACCTCATGAGAGCAGCGGTAATTTGTATCACTTTTCCCGAAACAATCAGGGAATCCATAGAAGCCCCACAGTCCTTTGGGTCTCAGCTGTCTTGCTAACTTTATAGTACTTTCCATTAACCCACGGGCAGATTGTTCAAATTCTTGTTTTGCTTCTTCAATCACTTCTTCCATTGTCCACTCTGGGTGTTTTTCTTGAACAAGTTCAATTGATCTGCTTTGGTAGATTCTTTTTGAGTCAAAATTCCTGTCCCATGTTGGGCGCCAGCCTTCCCAATCAATAATTGCCAAACCACTATAATTTGGGTCTGGAATTTTTCTAATAACGTCTTTTTTCATTTTCTTCAGATGTGCAGCTAAATTTATCAGCTGAAAATTAAGAAAACATTTATTACAGCATGTCATAATATCAAATGTTTTGGATTTCAGTCTAGGAAATTAATAGCTACTTGAGAGTAATGTACACAAATGACCTCAATTGACTGAAGGGTTATTTTTAAGTGGGTAGTAAACATTTGTAAGATGAAAATAAACCATACAAATCCTGTAATACAATGACTGAAGACCCTAAAGAATTGAACATATTGTCTTCTATATTTCAAATTGAACAGAATACCTTGAGGCTAAAAAGAGTGAAGTTTACGAAAGAGTTAATGACCTGAAACGGGGTAAATACGGTGACATGTTTGCTTGTTTACCTGGGGCATTCCTCCATTATAGCTATTCGTTCCTTGCTCGTTCGTGAAATACGGATACAGTCCAAGCTGTGCATTATATAATACCGTAACGTATTTTCCATCCCAAGTTTGCTTCGGATTCTCGAGAATGTCAAAATCTCTTAGATTTATGTTGATGCTGTAGTTAACATAACACCCACCCGTCGGGGCGTTCCAAATCGCTACAAACGGTCGATCCTCTATCGGAAAGTCCTCGCATTTACAAAAGGAATTCTTAATATCCAAAGCATAACCAAGGAACGATACACCAGCGACTAGAAGATGAAACTGCAGTAATCGAGTTGATAGAGCCGCAAAAGGACCCTGAACATAAGACATAGTTTTTCATGTTGTTTCTGAGCTGTTTTGGGGAGCGATGGCTCGCATGGTTAAGTTCGTTTGTAGCTCATGATGTAAGAATTCCAAATATAACACAAACAGATTGAATGAGGAATCTATGAGATATCGCTACGACCAAAAATAGTGAACACTCATCACTCAGTCGCATGCTTTGTCTTCAAATAGTGGATCTGCAAATAAAAAAGCAGGGTGAATTAGGACATAAATGCCTCACACAATCACGGTGGCTACATGATCAATGATCATCATTCAAAAATTGTTTGTAAACAAGAATCTTGGCGACACTGCCGGTATCTCCGGGTAAAACGAAATCCTTATATTACGGCATCATGGTCTGGTACATAAAGCATGGCAGAGGTAAATTGCGTATCTTAAGGCCTAAATTCGAGCCGGATTTCGCCAATCTTCATTCATCGGCCATTTTGTTTTGCCCTACACTCGACACTATACTAAGGGATACATGACTCTGCCAATCGACCGCTGCCCCCCAGAAGGTAAAATGTTCCCGCGAAAAATGTCTACGTGCTTTGCCATTTAATTTTAGCGTCCGGCAAAACTGCCTTTCATTGCAAAATTAAAGAGATTCTCTTCATTCAAGAGCTAAAGCCTTCGCTTGATGTCAATGTCGCTAGTGAGAGGTTGTTGCTTTATTAGCTGTTGCTCCTCATGATGTCTAGAAATGTTAACGTACTGTATGTACTGCTGCAGATCATTTTTCCCAGTCTAGCTTCCGATTAGAATTTGAAAAATTGAAACAGCGAAGATAAAGAGCGCATAGCAGGCAAATCTCATTAAAATCAACACAACGGGTTTATGAGCTCCTGGTGTGGTACAAATTGAAAATATCTCCCACACAAAGCATTCAACCAGGCATGAAGATCTGATAGCTATGCTTTAACTCATAACGGCGCCAATAGAGGGTGATCAACTGTTTAAACGTTTGTGCAAAAGCACTGGTAAAAGCAAGAAAAGGTAATTAACGAGATAATAATACACATGAAAAAATTACTCGATTCTGATTGGCTAAGAGCAGTGCAGTTCCAGTGTAACACAGTGCAAAAAGTGTAACATCAGTGCAAATTACACATCGAAATTCTGGACTATGATTGACTGAAAGACAATAGGAACTTTTCTAAGAAAATGATATCACGTAAAATGATGACGAAAATTTTGTGCTGAAACTTTGAAAAAAGTTTTCTC